GTTGGGCTAGACCCTGGCCTGTGTGTCATGCTGCTGGATGCCCCACCTCGTTCACTTGCCTTTTACGTAGCCTTTCCAGAATGACTTGTGGCTATCCAGTACATCTCTTGTTCTAGTTATTAAATGCGGTACTGTTCAGTGTACTATGCTTCTAGATTATTGATGGGTGGTCAGGGTGCCTGGCCAAGGACATGTGGCTAGCATGAGAGCTACATACCAGATGACAACTCCACTCAGGCAACCATAGGTTGAGCTACCATGCTTTGCATAATAAGAAGCCTAGCTTGGCTAGGCGGTGGTATTGCACGCCTTTAATCCCAGCACTTGGGAGGCAGAGGCAGGCGGATCTCTGTGAATTTGAGTCCAGCATAGTCTACAGAGCGAGTTCCAGGACAGGCTCCAAAGCTACACAGAGAACACAGAGAAACCATGTCTCAAAAAAGGAAAAAAAAGGGGGGTAAGGGGGGAACCAAGCTTATTGCTTGTTAAGTTCCTCTACTGTCTTCAGCTCCATTTGATTAACTTCCACTTAAACATTTCAGACAAAATAGTTGGGAGTTGGTAGTGTTGGAAGATGATGAACCAATCACACCATCTCAGGAGAAAAAGTTCTATTTATGTTTTATTTTTGCAATCTGGGAATTAAACACAGGATCTTGGCACATGGTAGGCAAAACACTATACCACTGAGCTCAAGAAAAAAATAAAAAATTGTATTTATTTTTTAATAAACACAATATATTTAGGTCTCCCAATCCCAGACCCAACCCCCTCATGGCCCTTTCCCAACCTAGCGCTGCTGCTTCTTGTCTGTGTAACTCTGAGTTGGGTTAGCGCTGTGCATATGTGCATGGGTGGGGCATCCCCTGGAGCACGAGCAGCCTGTCCTGGGCACACCAGTCAGAGCTTTCTCTCCCCAAGTAGCTTCGCTCACATTTTTAATTCTATTTGCTTTGTATGTTTGATGTGGGTGCCATGTGCGCATGTGGACAGTTTGCCAGACTTGACCCTCTCCTATCTTGTCCTGGGCACGGAACTTGGGTAGTTTAGTACCAGGTGCCCGTACCTGCCGAGCCACCTCACTGGCCGAAGAAAGTTTGCAAATCCTAAAACCAAAAACAAGTCAGTAGATCTCAGAATGCTATTTTATTTTTGTTCTTTGAAAATATTTCCCAATACTAAACAGGTGAAAAGGAGCCAAAGGCCCACATGCCATGGGACGTGTACACAGACCCTGACTGGAGCCCTTGTTGCTACCATTTGGAGCAGCCTATATATCTTAGTTGCTTCTAACATTAGTGTGTGCTTTTGGAACCTTCTTTAAATTACTTTGGTAGTCCAGGAGAGCAGAACATGATCCACCTTGAGGCAGGTTTCCTGGGAATCCTTAGTGTTCGGCTGGTTTCCGGCCTTTTGCCCAGTGGATGGCCTCCATAGATCATCCTGAAGCCAGGGTGGAAATGAAGTCAGGAAGGGACAGAGGAACCCAGTCTTCTGAAAGACACTGTCATCAGGGAGTGAAAGCTGTACAGGAATTATCGAGAAGTAACCACTAAGATACGGAATGTCATGTCTTGAATCATGTTTTGTTTTAGGCCGAGCAGGCCCAGGACCTTCCCAGAGAGTTCCAAAATCCGGGCGTTCCAGCTCTTTGGATGGAGACCATCATGATGGATACCACAGAGATGAGCCTTTTGGTGGCCCTCCAGGCAGCAGTTCGTCTTCTCGAGCGGGCCGCAGTGGCAGTAACTGGGGTAGAGGGAGTAACATGAACTCTGGCCCTCCAAGGCGAGGCACTTCAAGGGGCGGTGGGAGGGGACGGTAGAAGTAGGGGCTGAGTAGCCCTGGGCCTCTCTGGATAGTATTTAAGAAGTTCTTATGGACTTACCAAGTGAAGAGAAAAGAAGCCTTTACCACTGTAGCCCTGAGCTCTTCTTCTGGGGCAGCTGAGTTCTAGGATCCCAATGAGGTTTCCACAATGAAGAGACTGCTGCCACTACCTAAGGTAGTTGGCCCTGTTTTGTCTTGTCCACCCTTGTTGCCCTAACTCTGCCATGTTGTTTGTGAAGATAAAAGCTGGAATCCCCCCTTTTTTTTATGTCGTAAGAAATGGAGCACCTCCACAAAGTTGAGTTCATGTCCAATTGGAAATTTATTTCTATATGTACAGTTTGTCAGAGAAAAAAAAAACCTTGTTTTGTATGAATACAGAATGTGATTTACTCAAGAATTAACAGAAACAACCGGTTGTGTAGTGCTTGCCTTAAGGAACTCTCGTTTCTCCTGCATCTGACCTGCTGGGTGCAGTTCCCGCTATACTGACAGCAGACGAAGCATGTCAACTGCTTTTCCAGAGTCTTACCTTCTTCCTGTTTCACACTGTCTCTGCTATGCGGAAAGGAATGCTTTAAAGTTGCTCTAACATAGTTCAAGCAGGCTCAGAACCTCAGAAGATTACACTGGAAGAAAAAGCTGAACCTAGAGGCTCTTGGCTGCACCTCCTAGCAGTTTAGGTTTGAGTGGTCTTGTCTTTGTTGGGAAAGAAAGCTGGTGTAAACTGGCGCTAACTACAAGTGTCTTAGAGTTATCGCACACACTTCAAAGGAAGTGGAACAAAGTATATTTTGGAAACAGTCTCCTTTTCCACATTTGCTTTATGGCGGCTTCAGGGTTTGGGGTAGAAGACCAAGTGTGCCAGAAAGTTCTTTGCCATGACAGATATCTTGTTTAAAAAAAAAAAAACAACACACCTTTAATCCCAGCACTTGGGAGGCAGATCTCTATATAAGTTCAAAACCAGCCTGGTCTGTGGAGAGTTCCAGGACAGTCAGGGCCATACAGTGAAACTCTGTCTCAAAACAATCCTCCCCCCCCATAAACAAACAAACAAAACTAAGTGTGGAGGCAAAGGCAGGGCAGTCTCTGAGCTCTAGGTCAGCTTGGTCTACAGAGAAAGTTCTAGGATTCAGGGCTACATAGAAACCCTATCTGGAAAAATCACCCTCCCCCAAAGGAAAACAAAACAACCACCAAATTAGGACCTGGAGAGATGGCTCAGCATTTAAGTGTACATACAGGGACTGGAATTAAGTTCCCAGAACCTACCATCAGGCATCTCACAACTACCTCTAACTCCAGACACACACATCCACCCCTACCTACCTACCTACCTTCCAGAAAAAGGAGGGAACTCAGACTGAAAGTCAAAATTTCAGTTTGTGATAACCTTTTCTATGTTGGCTTTTTTTCTTTTTAACTTATTTTTTTAAAAGCCTGTTTCTCATAACTTTTTTTTAACCTGCGTTTATATCTGTGCATCAATTGTGTGGCTGGTGTCTTTGGAGGCTGGAAGAGAGTATCAGATCCCTGGAACTGGAGTTAGCACCAAGTGGGTCCTGGGAACTGAACCCATGTTCTCCTCCAGAGCAGCTGGTACTCTTAACCAATGAGCTGTCTCTTCACTGGTTTTTCTAAGAAAGTTTTTATTAAAAAGGTCAGGCCTGGAGCTGCTAATATCTCATTACATTAGCAGCTTTTGGGCACATGAAAACAGTTTACTTGGCAAGTTGAAAAGAGATGCCATAGTTGGACAAGTATACAGAAATCTTCCCTGGCTCTCTCTGGGTATGGAGTGAAGAAATGATTATTTGGGTGTCAGAACCTGAAGATTTCAAGCAAACAATTTTCGTTTTACTTCAAAAATAAAAGTGTCAGAGCTGGAGAGATGGCTCAGAGGTTAAGAGCATTGTCTGCTCTTCCAAAGGTCCTGAGTTCAATTCCCAGCAACCACATGGTAGCTCACAACCATCTGTAATGGGGTCTGGTGCCCTCTTCTGGCCTACAGGCATACATACAGACAGAATATTGTATACATAATAAATAAATATTAAAAAAAAATAAAAGTGTCAGCACCCACACTATTAGAAGCTGTGTTCCTCCTCACCTGTGTTCCCCAGCATAACATCAAACAACTCACAGTCAAGTTCCATGACGCTACACAGGGATTCATAAACACCCAGGTCACATTGTGAGGATGAATTCATTTATAAACAGAGCCCCTTATATTATACATAAACATTTACATACAACATTTTAAATACTCCTGTCAAAATATAAGATGTCGTGCTTTGAGCTTTATAAAACTTATTTCAAGTAATGAGTTTTTGAGACGATTTTAATACTTTGAATACAGTAACATAAAAACTGTTTACATCACTACTGAAAACAGCATTTCCTTTCTTAAGAGAGTGCTCCTTGTCTGTCTGGGGAGCACTAGAGAGAATGGGATATGAGCCAGGATGGAATCACTTTGCTACTGCCTGACCTGCTATGCCTTTCCTGTTAGGGCAATATGGGGGCAGCCTGGAAAACAATTACTTTCACATTGTACCAGCCAGTGCGCAGATGTGGATCTCAACTTAGCCAAACATGAAAGCATCTGGGTATATATATTAATTAATGTCTGGACCCATCCCCACTAATATTAATGAACTGACGAAATGTGGCTTCCTTTGATGTGAGAACCATTGGTAAAATTATGAACTTCTAATACACTTTACTTTTTAGTGTATCAAGACTCAATACTGAATCCAGTTTTTGGCAATAAATGATGATAGATTTAAATGCTGTTTGACTGCAGCACAACAAAAACAATTGTGAATGAACAGCACTTTACATTGCATCCGTAGCAAACTGTATAGTACTTGAAAAAGCAGCAATAATGTTAGGAATAGTGAACGACTGGCAAAACCTCTCACCTACATCAAACACAACTGCAGATGTAAGCTTTTCCTTGTCTCCCAGGACCCTTAAGCCCGGTTCTGCGGAAACCTGCAAACTTAACCACGCATCATCCTGGATATCTGGCTTCTTGATTCAGAAAATTGCTCTTTGGTGTGTTGCTTTTACGATTAATTTTCCTTAAATATTATAAAGCACCATATTTACTCTTAACTGAAGAAAAAAACAGGTATAATGTATCAACTAATCACTACTTTAAATCCAGTGGCTAAATTTAGTGTTTAATCCGATAATCTGGGTTGATTTACAGTGAATAGGAGTACGGAGGCTTCAAAAAGTGGCGACAAAAACCGAACCTCTATGCTCAACTGCGTATACCAGTGCATTCTTCCAAAGCCACGAAAGCAGCCAAGTCAGCCGTCCCCTTAACTGTCGTCCATGTAAAGCCAGTTCGAAAGCAGTTCATGGATAGTGAACTGTGTCTTTCGGGGCCCATGCTGCCCATCCAGAACCTCAGAACGCTGAAGCCGAAGGGTCTTCTGAGACCGCCAGCCCGTCAGTCGGTGGCAGCTGCTCCAAGCTCACGGACTCCGGAGCACAGTCCAGTGGGTGCCTCGTCCTCGCACGCTAGGGTGCCGTGGATTGTGGCGATGCCTGGCTGGTCCCGCTTCCTAAGACGGACGGTCACACCGGGAGAACGTTGGTGAGGCTCGCTCCACGATTCAGGCGGCCAAGCGCTAGGCGCAGCGCCGTCACGCCGCCCCAGGGCAGGAGCCCCAGCAGCGCGTAGAGCAGCGCAGCTACCTGCGCGCACGCGCCGAGCGCCGTCAGCACCGTACTGCGCAGGACCAGCGCGGCGTAGAGCGTGGCGCCCAAGGCCGCGGCATAGGCCAGCGCGGTTCGCGACGGCGTCTCCTCGCCCCGCAGCAGGCGCCCGCAGGCCGGGCCGCCCCGCAGCAGCGCCGCGCTCGCCAGCGCCAGCACCGAGCCCAGCGACCAGAGCAGCGCGAACTTTCGCGCGCGCAGCAGCAGCACCGGCGCATACAGCGCCGCCAGGCCGAAGCAGAGCGCGGCCAGCAGCAGGCCCAGGCCGCCCGCCGCCAGGCGCTGCCCGCGCGTCACTTTTGGCATGCACTGCGAGCCCGCGGGCGGCGGCTCGGCGGAGCTCCGCGGCCACGGCCATCGCAGAGCCGTGCGGCCTAACCACGCCGCGGCGGCTCCGTCCCCGGCCTCAGGCTCTTCGGCCGTCCTCGCGGCGAGCAGCGGCTCGGCGGCTGCCGGCCTGTTCGCTTTACCCTGCATCAGGTAGTCCTGCAGTTGGCGGTGGAGACCCGCCATTTCGGACCGGGTGCCGGTGGAAACGGGACTGACACTTCCGGGTTCGGGCGCCCGCAAGCGGAAGTAGCTAGATCCTCAGGCTGCGGTTGGTCGGCCACGCGGAAGGGTGATGTCCAAGGCCTTGCGGAAATCCCGGAGTAGGCGGCACAGCTGTGCTCCTGATCTTATGTTGTAGTCACTGAATAAATCCCGTCAGGGTTAAAAAAAATAGTCGAGAGTGGCTGTGGTAGCAAAGGGAAGCACTTAGGGAGTCTCTGCTGGCATGATGAATATTGACTGTCAGGTGACTAACAGTGTTAACATTTTGCTAAATGGAAGAATCTGGGGAAAGGTACACCTCTCTCCCCCCCCCGCCCCTCCCCCTCTCTTTCTTTCTTTCTTTCTTTCTTTCTTTCTTTCTTTCTTTCTTTCTTTCTTTCTTTTTTTTTTTAAGCAATTGTCTACATTTCTACGGTTACCTCAGTTCTAATGAAGGAGCTAGCGGTTCTTGCCGCTCTTGCAGAGAACCCAGGTTCGGATCCCAGCACCCACATGGCATCTAACAACCACCGGTAATTTCAGTTCCAGGGGATCTGACGCCCTCTTCTAGCTTCCGCTGAGGCTGCAGGTATGTGGTACACGTACAAACATGCAGGCAGATCACCCATATATAAAAAAATAAAAATTTAACTTAAAAATTTACACCTACAGAGCTTAGGTTATCCCCTTTGAAAGTAGAGTTTGTAAAGGACTGACTCCCAGCCCACTCCTGGTTTCCCTTTTTTGTTTGTTTGTTTGTTTTTTAATTACTTCTTTTATATTTTGAGAATATAATGATATTGTTTCTCACATCTTTTTCCTCCCTTCAAACCCTCCCAAACATCCTTACCCTCTTTCAAATTTGTGGACTCTTTCTCTTTCATTAATTGTTATTACATGCACGTACATGCATATGTACACATTTCCAAATATAACCTGCTCAGTCTGTATAACGTTACTTGTATGTTTTCAGAACTGGTTATCTGATGTTGGATAACCAGTTAGTATGCTTTACCCCCAGGGAATTCTATTTCTCCTACTCAACATTCCTTAGCTGTTTGTAGTTCTTTGTCCTGGGTGGTGTCCCCCATCCACTTTGGCCTATCTATTGTACTAGCCTTTCATTTCCTTGGTTAAATATCTCTCTCTCTCTCTCTCTCTCTCTCTCTCTCTCTCTCTCTCTCTCTCTCTCTCTCTCTCTCACACACACACTCAGTTTATGTGTAATTATCTTCCTCCCTCCCTCCCTCGTTGCCTCCCTTTATTATATAGGAATGCTACTAATTTTTGTGTATTGTGTATTCTGCTGCTTTGATGAATGTGTTTGTCAACCATAAGAGATTTCTTGTGGAGTATTTAGAGCCTTTTATATCTAGAGTCATATATGCAAATAAAGATACTTTTCCTTCTCTATCGTCTCCTTCACTTGTCTTATTGCTCCAGCTAAAGATTTTATATACAGTCTTGTCTTGTTCCTGGTTTTAGTGGAAATGCTTTGAGTTTTTCTGTGTTTAGCCAGATGTTGGCTGAGGAAATCTGTGTGTTGCTTTTATTATGTAGAGAAATGTCACAGATTCTCTAGAACTTTCATTATGAAGGTATGTTAGATTTTTGCTAAAGGCCTTTTCTGCATCTAATAAGATGATCACATGCTTTCTATCTTTTAGTGTGATTGCATGGTGGATTACTTTTCTGTCTTTTAGTGTGTTTATGTGGTGGATTACTTTTCTGTCTTTTAGTGTGTTTATGTGGTGGATTTATTGACTTACATATGTTAAACCATCCTAGCATCTCTGGGATGAAACTGATTTGATCATGGTGATCTTTTTGATTTTTCTTAAGCTCAGTCTGCAAGTATTTTATTGAGGATTTTTGCATCCATGTTCAACAGAAATATTGGCCTATAATTGTCTTTCCTTTGTTGCTGTTGTTGGGCCTTTGTCTGGTTTTGGTATCAGACTATAGTAACTTTGTAAAAGGAATTTGGAAGTGTTTCTTCGGTTTGTACTTTACACATAATTTGAGAAGTATTGGTATTAATTCCTTGAAAGTATGGTAGAATTCTGCAGTCAGTTCATCTGGCCCTAGACTGTTTCTGTTGGGATTTTGTTTTGTTTTTAACTTTTTATTGATTCTTTGTGAATTTCATATCGTGCACCCCAATCCCACTCATCTCTCTGTACCTCCTTATCTGCCCTGCAACCTCTCCTCCCAAAAGAAAGCAAACAAACACAGATCTCACTGTAGAATCTGCATTGTAGCACAGTACACCCTTGTGCTTAAACAGCTTTACCTAACATATGTTCATTGCAGTGAGTCATTGGTCTGGTTGGAGGCCTCTGGCTCTTCTCCACTATCAATACTGGGTCCTCACCAGAACTCCTCTAGGACATCCTGTTGCTGCCCCGGGTTACAGAGATGCTGCAGCTTCGGTTCTGCAGGACCGGACTCTCCACCTGCTCCAGCAGGTCGTAGATGGGGTAGATGTTGGGGTGGGCCAACTCAAAGTCCTGGATCTGGGCCTGGGTGGTAGCTGAGCTGGTCAGTCCACCCTCCTCCTGCAGCTACACAGCCAGGGCCAGCTCTCCTGCTTTGCCCAGGGGAGTGGTGTGGTCAGCTCTCCTGAGCTTATGCCACTGGGGTTGGCTCTCCCTCACCCACACCACCAGGACCAGCTCTGCTGTGCTGCCCAGGAGAGGTGAGAGGCTGCTCCTGCTGTCATGCCCTTGAGGCCAGCTCTCTAGGAAGATTTTTATAAAGGGATTTTTATTTTATTTTATTTGTATGGGTGTTTTGCCTGCGTGTCTTTCTGTGTACCACATGCATGTAGTGCCCCCGGAGGCCGGAAGATGGCATTGGATCCCTGGAACTGGACTTACCAATGGTCGTGACTCATCATGTGGTTGTTGGGAATCAAACTGAGACCTCTGCAAGTGCAACCCCATCTCCTTACTGTTGCGCCATCTCCCCAGTCCCTCATGGGGAGATTTTCAGTCACTGGTTCTAGCCCGTTGAATGTCATGGGTTTATGCACATTATCTCATCTTGACTTAGCTTCGGTGGATAATATATATCTAGAAATTAACCCTTTCCTTTTAGACTTTGACTTTGGTAGAATGCAGATTTTTTTTTAAAATGAAATCTTTATTATTTCTTGCATTTTCTTAGTGTTTGTTGCAATGTCTCTAATTTTATTAGTTTGGATCCTGTCTTTCATTTGATTTATTTGGCCAAAGGTTGTGAATTGTGTTAATTAATCCTTCAAAGAATCATCTGTGATGGTGATCTTGATTGTCAGCCTGACACATCTGGAGCCAGCTAAACTTAAGCAGCTGTGAACACCTGTGAGGGATTGTGTTGACTGGACATTCGGGATGGGAAGAGCCACCCTAACTCTGGACCACACCTTCTGGTGACTGCCACTTGAAAGGACATGGAACAAGGAAGCTTTTGCTTTTTGCCTTCTTACCCTCACGTTGGCTGGTTAGTTCATCTCTCTGTTCTGCCATCCCCTTGCTGGAGTTAGGACATACTCTTCAGGATTTAATTGTTCCCTGAAGACGAGCTGAGACCTCCAGCCTTGTGGACTGAACAACTACTGCTTTCTTGGTCTTTCAGTCAGGAGACAGCGTTGTTGGATTAGCCAGACCACAGCCTGTAAACTACTCTAATAAAGTGTGTGTGTATCTGTGTGTGTGTATGCGTGGGACAGATTGAGACTTTTTAGTGTGTGTGTGTGTGCGTGCGTATATGTGTGTGTGTGAGACAGAGACAGAGATTGAGATTCTTTAGAGAACGCTGACTAATACAGTCCCCAATTAAATCCTGTTCTGTTCAGTGACACAATGATCCTTCCTAGAGAAGGGTCAGCCTGTATGGATGAAGGACTCTTACTTGTGTCTGAGGAGACTTATTTTGTTTGGAAAAGAGGGTGAAAAGTTCATTCCTAAAAATATTAGTGAAAATAAAAGATTTTTTCAGATTTTTTTTTTTTTGTAAGAGATTAAAGGTAGCTGAGAAGATGATTCAATTGGTAAAATGTTTGCTTTGCAAGCATGAGGACCTGAGTTCGATCCCCCACACCCATGTACAGTGAGCCAGGTGTGGTGGCATGTTTTCACACCAGTGCTGAGGAGGCAGGCAGGTAAGTCCCTGCAGTTTGCTAGCCAACTGTCTTAGACAGCTAGGCAAGTGCCAGGGCAGTGGAAACATGTCTCAGAACAAATGAACAGGAAAACAAGAAAGGAAAAATTAGTGAGCAGTGTCTGAGGGGCAATTATCTGAGCCTGTTCCTTGACCCTTCCCTCACACACGCACGTACCCCCATGAATATGTGAGCACATACACAGAGAGAACTGGTGGCTCCATGATAGCAACAAGAAAATGACAAAGCACTCAGAAATGTAACAGGTCTAGGAGAGTCTAGGAAGAACCCTCCTGGGAGACAGAAATCTGTGCCTGGAAACAAGGGAACAGTCACAGGCTGGAAACAGTTCTCACTGCATCAGGGGCCTCGGGAGCAGAAGGGACAGAATGAAGGTGTGGTAAGAAGGGATTTACTGGATTGGATTATACGATATGGTCTAGGTAGTCAACTATACCTGCTTCATATTAGAGGGTCAGGCCGAGACTGGGCAGTCGCTGAGTCCAGAGGCTGGACGTCTCAACCTGAGGATGCTGGTTCTGGTATTAGTGAAGGAGTCAGCAGAGCAGCAGAGACCACCTTGTCCAGAGGGTGCAGGTGAGCAGGTGAAACCAGTTTACTTCTGGGTTCTTTTATCAGAACTACCACCAGGGGGCACCACCCACATGTATGGTGAGCCTTTCTGCCTCTAGAATCTGGTCAAGAAAACCCCTCACAAGAGTGACCCACAGCTGCTTGCCTTTTAGTTGATTTCAGGTTCAGTTGGCAAGTCTACCTTTTATCAGCTTGACACCTGGTCATTTCTTATGTCATGCTTTATTTCCAAAGGCAATATATAATATGGTCATAATTCTGCCTAACATGACGCAGTGATCTCATATACAGCCTCAAACATTTTGTTTCTTCCAAACAGGTAGTAAAATCCCTTGAAGAATGCTTAGTCTTTTAATGTCCAAAACTTAAGATTGATAATGATTTGCAGCACTTAACCACTGATACTATTTCTATCAGTGTTATATTACAAAACAAATAGAGGAAAGGAAACCCAAATATCTGCTTAATGTATATATGTATATCTTCACAAACATGTATTCTAAATAGACTGTGCCGGCTAGTGTTTTGTAAACTGACACACAAGCTAAAATCTTAGGAGAGAACCTCAACTGAGATGATATCCCCACAGAATTGGCAGTGGGCAAGCCTGTGGGGACATTTCTTAAACAATAATTGATGTATGTGAGCCCAACTCACCCAGGGCAGCACCTCCCCTGTGCAGGGGTTATGGGTGGTGTAGAAGACAAGTTATGAGGAGCAAGCCAGTGACCAGCACTCCTGTGGTCTCTGCGCCAGCTCCTGTCTCCAGGTTCCTGCCTTGAGTCCCTTCTCTGACTTCCCTGCATGATGGATTACAGACTACAAGATAAATAAACCCCTTCCTCCACAAGCTGCTTTTGATCATGTTGTTTTTATCACAGGAACAGAAACTTGAACTAAGACACGCACAGACATGCTTATGACAGCTACAGCCCTCATTACTGTAACTGATCCAGTGTGTGGCCTTACCTGCCTTGTTCCCATAGCCATTCTGTGGCTCACCTGCCTCAGCAGGCATCTCAACAGATTGTGGTTGGTGACCAACCATGGAGAGGTGACTAGCACCTTCATTCCTGAGGGGTCTGTTCAATTAACATCTAGTCTGAATTGGGTTACTGTAGTGATATTTCCTTTTATTTAAATAAATAAAACTTACCTGAAGATCAGAGAGTAAAAGAGCCCCCCTGGTCAACCTTACAGACCAGGTAGTGGACACACACCTTTATTTAATCCCAGTAGCCACACTAGTTTGCCGTGGAAACTGGCAAATATTGCACGCCTTTAGTCCCAGCACTAGAGAAGAATAAAAACAGGAGACAGCTCTCAGACAGTCTTACTCTGAGGATTCCTAGAGGCAGGATCACCATTTTGAACTGAGGTAGAGGTAAGAACCATTGACTGGCTGTTGTGCTTTTCTGACCTTCAGATTGAACCCCAATATCTGTCTCTGGGTTTTTATTAGTCA